AAGGAGGCAGTTCCCGGGGTACAGTTGGGAAGATTCATGTGCAGGAACCGGGGACGGTTGATTTGAGGAGTCTTTGCCTTTGGTAACTTCAAGCGCCTAGAGCTCAGGGATACGATTTGGTGTCTCCAAGAGTTGGACAGTGGGAAGCTGCAGGGGTGTGTGGGGGGTAACGTTGGTGTTTAAACTATGCCGCGCAGCACGCAACCTTAATCTAGTGGCTCTCTTTTGGGTCTCAGGTGGCTTCTGTGTCAAATGGAGGAGTGACTGGTGGAGGGAAGGCGCTTTAGACGTTGCAAAGAGTTCTCTAAGATGTAAGGAGATGGGATTTCTCTAGACTGGTGGTGCGTGGGCCCTCGTGGCTGCCACCACCCGTCCTGGATCTCCCCATTCCTCCAATCTTTTTGTTGGCAGTGTCCTCCGGTGGGTCGCAGAGTGTTGAGGGTAGTTTCTAGGCACATCTCTCCGTTGTTCTTTTAGATCAGCTCAGGTCCAGCCATCAGAGAGAGCACTTATTTGAGACCGGTACTGAGCCATCAATATCTGTTTCCCTCACTCCACCGGCCATCTCCAACCTTTTGGATAGTCCACCTCTCCTTAGGGCACCACGGTGAGGTGGCCCGTGGACCATAGTGGGTTGGCAGAGCTAGGGAAGGCAGGAAAACCTATGGGTGCCTCGGAGACCCTCTGGTTTGGGGGAAAGGCGGGGTTTTACCGCGAGAGGAGTTCTAGAGAAATAGTTGGACTAGGAATTCGGAGACTGGGGAATTTTACAGAGCAAGAGTGTCCGTTCTCTATTTTCTAGGCGAATATAATCCAGCCCCACACCAGCATCTTCCAGCTGCTCCCCAGTTAAGGCAAAGCCCTCTTCCTAAACTGTCGGTCTTGCCTACCAGGGTGTCGCCAGCTTTTCCGCATGGGGACATTTCGTTCTGACTTCGCCCAGCTATTGTGCCCAAGGCCTGGGGAGCTCCTCTGTGTCCTACCATGTACCGAACAAAATGTCCACGAGCCCCGCAGACGTTCAGCCCAACACCGGGGGCTGCACTCCAGATGATGGCCGAGGGCCACTCTCCCCCTCCCCCCACCTCGGGCTCGGGCAGGGATTCTTCTCCCCCCGGATGAGAACCAGTCCTGACCAGGTGCCCCACGAGCCGCGTGGTGAGCCCTGTTACCAGCGTCCCGCCAGGCAGATCTCTCGGACAGCCCCAACTTAATTTCCTGGTCCTTGTGGCAAGTTCCCTTAGAAAACCTCTCCCAGTTTTCTCCAGTCCTTCGCAAAGAATCAAGAAACGTTAAAATCCCTATAGAGAGTCTCGATTTAATAGTAGGAGAGGGTGGAGCGGGCGGGGCCGAGTTGTTCTTGGGATTGCATTTCTCCCCACTTTGAACGATCTCGGGCGGATAAAGCGCAAGTTTGTGCACTTGGTCCACTGAGGGATCGCAAATCAGAAAACAAAACAGCGGCCAAGGAAATGTGGAGTTTGTACAGTTGTCGCTGCAAATGGGTGTGCGGAAATGCTAGCAATGTGAACTTTCTACAGATCGTGTATGGAGGGAGCTAAAGGAAAGGAGGGAGGGGAGAGGGCTGGAGGGAGCCGCGTGGCGTGAATTGTGCCGGCGTGGGAGGGTGTCTGTGTGCCTAAGAGTGGAGGGGATGTCGCGACGGGGGCAGAAGAAGGAGTCGATCACGAATTGCAGGCTAATTGGCTTAAGACATTTTGCAAGCGCTGGAAAAGGTCGTTGAAGGAGTTCACTGCACAGAAAAAAAAAAAAAAAATCTTAAAAAAGAGTGCCGGGCATGCGCACAGAGAGGATGCCATATTGGAATGAGGCTGTAGTGGGAGCTGGAGGGACCCGAGCCGGCGCGCGAGGGAGGCGGCGGGCAGGGAGCGAGTGAACCAGGGAGGCGAGGGCGGGCGAGCGAGCGAGGCCGGCGCCTTTTCCGGAGACTTCCGGGGCCAGGGTCCCCGCCGAGGGCGGAACAAACTTCATCAGGTAGGACGCAGCTCCAGCTACTGCCCTCGGCCCGCGATCAGACCTCCGGCCCGCAGGTTGAGTGCGCCGGTCAGCGTCTTTTTGCTAGCTTCGCGGGGTGAAAAAAAGGGAAGACTAAGCAAGCCTGGTGGGTGTTGGGGGAGGAAGGAGAAAAACAGCCAAAGAGAAGGGCTGGAGAAGAAAGCGACAGCTCTTGAGCGAAGCCTCAAACTCCTCTCTGCGCTCTGGGTTGTCATTTTTTGCTTCCTCTGTCGCCTTCCCCCGAGACTCCTGGGCTCTGAAAAGCCCGGCCGTGCGGGAGTCGGTCCAGAGTTGCAAAGTGTCCTCTTTCCTCCGGGTGCAGCCTGTCCCCTCCCGCCACCCACCCTTCTCGTTTGTGCACTCCTTTTAGCGATGAAGCAGTCCCTGCTACTACCCTGCGCTCCCCAGTCTCTTCCGCACCCGAGACCCCTTTTGGTGTGTGTTTGGAGGTTTGGGGAGAAGGAGGTGGTGGGGAAGGGAGACTGGAGATCAGCAAAGGGGAAAAACATCGTTCAGACATTTGGAATCGCCCCTTGGAGGCATTTGCCTGTGTCACTGAAATGAAATTGTCAGTAGTAGTTTCGGAGCGTGCTCCAGCGAGGATGATCTTTTTGTTCATTTTTCCCCCCTTAAAGTAATATCATGTCACTTGGGGCTTTCCTGTTGTCTACTCTTATCAGACCTCTTCTCAAAATTTCTACCCAATCCAGCCCTGGAGTTTATTTTTAAATATGCATATGTCTTGCTGAAATTCTCCAAAAAGCAACTGTATGAACTGCTAGATATATTTATTGATTTCGACCCGAAGCGGTGGAAGGGGATTAGCCAGGGAAGGGAGATTCTTTGGGGTGGGAAGTGGTTGATTCGGGTGGCCAGATGCACCTCCAGAGCCCCATTTGTACTTGTGTTTCTTGGAAGCGCAGCAACAGCGGGGAAGGAGTCTTTAGACACGGTGCCGGTTTCAATATGGCGGGCTAGGGTGGCTTTTAAAAACTGAAAATAAAGGTTTTGAGGTGGGAAAAAACCCAACTGAAGTGGCCACGCCTGAATTTTGAGTCTCTTTGGTTACCCCAGGAGCCGCTTTAGCGAATTAAGTGGGAAAAAAGAAAGGGAACGAGTTGCCCCAGTTTTTTCCGTGGTTAAAGTCTGTATGTCAAGTCCATTGCTAGAGGGTAAAGGGTGGAGGGGTGCCTCCAGCCGGGACTAGGGAATCCAAGCGCAACTGCCACCGGTGTCTGTGGATTAGTGTACACGCCTTGTAGGTGCAGTTGCCGGGGAGGTGTTACAGAGATCCACCGTAAATGTTTGTATGTGCGTCGCGGAACCAGACCCTGCCACGATTTGACGTGACAAACTGCTGACACGTGGTGCAAAATACATGAGGGCAGACGGAATGATTTATTTCAGCTTTCTAGGAGACAAGCTCGCTCTCTCCCTCTGTGTGCTGGATCCTGTGCGAGTAAACCCTCGATTAGACGGAGCAAGGAGATGCTTATTAAAAGGACTGGCCAGAGTATTGGGTGCAATGGGGCTGCAGACGTCAGTGGGATTTTGTGTGGGCTGCATTTAGTGGTGGGCTCTTGCTTCGCGCTCGGGTGGGAAGTTAGGGACCATTGCGGGTGGCGGAGGACGAAAGTGCAGGAGTACATGGGTGGGGGCACGCGGACCTCAGCTGAAAGGCGTTTTAGGGTCAGTGTGAGGGTTTGCCCTGTTGAGTTTTGGGTTTGACGCTTTAGGGAATGTGGGGGGTGGGTTGAGGGACAGCGTTCTGGGAGGAAATCCTTCCTTGCTCAGGCTGGGCACAGAAGGCAAGCCAAGAGGGGCGCCTCCAGTCTTGGCGGGAGCGTGGGCAAGGCTTTATCCTTGGGGTGTAAATAGGCTGCGAAGTGCTCTGGAAAAGCCCTCTTACTGGGCCTGGGAGGATCCGGGAATGCAGTTTGGACACAAAACCAGACCCAGTTAGGGGAGTCGTAAGGAACGCTCGCAAACCCGAGCTCGGAGAAGAGTCACCCGGAATGCGGGAACGTCGTTTTAGTTAGGAACGAAGGTCCCCGACAGGGGTCGCCCGTGTCCAGGACGCAGCGGCCGTGCGCTGGACGCGCGGCAGTGCCAACGGAAAAGACCCGGGAAGGGGGGCGGGAGCCACGCGGTGGTCGCACGGTTTCTCCAGAGCTAGGCGAGGGCAGGTCCAGGGAACCGTCTTCCGATCGTGCAGTGGCCAAGCGCTGGCAGACGTTTTTAAATGAGATGGTTAAAAGGACAGTGCTGGCTAGGTCTACAGTTACCGCAGCAACATGGTCTCGGGGCATTTAAAGGGGCCCACAAGGAGGGGGTGCGCTACAGGGTCACTTAGCTGGACGCTGTGGGGTCGAAGGGTCTGATTCCCTAGCGGTGTAGGGGCAATCAGCACCGGGATTGGAGACCCTAAGGCAGGTTTTCCCTCCCACCTGGGCGGCGAGGCTGAGCGATTGGAGACGCGCGAACCCAGACGCACCCCCCCACCCCCACCTGGGGACGGAGCGCGCGGCGCGTCCCCGGCCCTTCCAGCCTGCGCTTTGGCGCGTCCTCTCGGGGACAAGCTCTTCCGTGGGCTCCGCAGAGGTGGAGACCATACTAAAATGGCTCTGCCTGGTAAACTGCAGTTTCAGCCGCGTACCCCTCCCCTCGTCCTCCTGACGTCGCCGCTGACAAGGGCACAATCCTCTCCAACTCCCGAAACCCACGATTTTGCACCGGGCCGTGCGGTGGACGCGAGTATACAGTCGATTACAAAGAACATTCCACAGGATTCTCGAAGGGCCCAAGTTTTCTTTTTTTGTGGGTAGGAGCGGGAGGAGGGAGGAACTGAGACGCTGCAGGAGCCCAGCCGACTACCGCCCCAGCACCGAGGGGGTTTGGGGTGCTCCAGCGGTTGGGGCTGGAGACTTTTAGGGATAAAAATACGAGGGGAAGTGAATGGTCGCCATGCGGAGCGATGGCTACTGCTCGTCCTTGATTGCGTTTTCAGTGTCCAACAGTCCAGAGACGACGCCAGGAAGCCTGGGAGACCATTCCCAAACTTCTGGAGACCTCGCAGTTTCGCTTTCGGAATTTTCGGGATCTGTGGGTTTCTAGAGTTGGGTGGCATTCCGGGAAGGCAAGGCGACGTTCGCTGCCCCGTCGTGCGGTCCTCGGACTTCTCGCCCATCCCTGCGCCCCCTTGCTTCGCCTGCCTTATCTCGCCGCGCAGTGTGAGGGTTTGGACTCCCCGGCCCGCGCGCCGCCCCCCGCGCCGCATTCGGAGGGCTCCAGCCGCGCAGCCGCGGCGGATCCGGAGCCGAGTGGTGGGAAACCGTTTTCAACGAGGGCCGGCATCGCTTGGATCCGGAACCATCACCGCAGCCCACCGCTCTCCCACACCCCTCCGCCCTTGCACGGTAGCCAAGGGACTTGGGGGGACCGATTGGCGTGTCTACACGGAGTGAATGGATCCAGGTTCCACCAGGTCGGAGGAAAAGCGTAAACAGGCTCAGAAATTCGGCCTCATTTCCTGGGGAGGCGGTTGGGGGTGGGGAGAGAGACTGAGCGGGTAAGCGGGAGGAGGAGGGAGAGGGAAGATACCTTGGTGGTCAGAAGGAATTGTTGGCCAGGCTCTCTTTTGAGATAGGGGATCTGCTACTTTTTCCCTACTAGGCATTAAATTTGCACACACACACTGCTTCCTGCCATAAATAAATACCGTCGCAGATCTTTATCTTAGCCCGTTTGCTGGGACCAAGCCTCCTGCCTGCGAGGGGGGCTGGAGAAATGCCTGCGCACCCTAAGACTCCAGGCCCTCTCCCGAAGTTACTGCTCCCTAAAGGACCCATTCCTGAGCGGGTATAAAACACTGCCCAGAGGCAGGGGGTCTCAGCAGCCCCCATCCTAGGGAAAGGAGCTGTCAAGCACCCTGTTACCCTGTTTTGATGTGTGTCACTCCGTAAGTGCTAGCCAAGACCTGCTGAGATGAGAACTGAAGATTTCCCATTTCCAGTTGGGATACTGGCACCTTGATTCTCAAGCACGCAACCCCCTGGGGAGATGCATTTCCCTAATGATGGGAGTAATTGGTCAGAGAATTTTTCCTCTTCGTGTGTTCTTGCAGAAATGGTGGACTATTTTTATTTTTTAAAAGTCTTTCTAGCTATAAATGACTAGCTTGACAAGAAGGTGGAAGGGAAAGCAGGCTAGGTACCTGTGTCTTCCCTGTTCCTTTTTTGTAAGACTTCTCTGGAAGTATTAAGTGCTCATCAAATCCCTTTTCTGTCCACTAAGGTGGCATTTTTTTTTTCATTTTTCTTTACACACCAGTGCCCCTAAAGGACTCAGAAGAAATATTAAGTGATGGAGACATCTTTTTAAGCGCAAGTCCATGAGATTGTTTAGTTGATACAGGCTGCTGACAGGATCTGAGAAGTCCATGTAATGAAAATTCAAACCTTACAGAGCTTACACTTTAGGTTAATAAGTTTTTCATCAGAGTGAAGTATTTTTCCCCTTTAAAAAAAGTAATTTTAACAAGAAAGGTCCACTGTGAGATTTGAATGACCTCCAGTTCTGGCATAATAGGTTTGGACAACATTTCCTCTCTTTGTATTTCACTAGTTGGAATTTCTAGAGTTCATGTAATGGTCGGGGGTCATGAGGTGTTTTTATTCTGCTCTAACCTAGGAACTCCTAAAGTTTTTTTTTTTTTTTTTTATTACCAAAATGATATTGGGATCTGTAATTGATTAGACATTTTTGTGGTCCTTCTAACTATTTTAAAATCTGCATTACTTTGGCAGCAACTTATTGACCCCATTCTACAAATTTAAAAATTTAGGGAAGTTATTCTTGGTACAGCAAACCAAAAATTCAACGTGTGCATTTGGTTGGTGGTATGGGGATCCAACAAGGAAGAGAGGGGAACATCAGAAGGCCTGGCTTCTAGTTTCAGGGATGGTATGTTTAGCTGTGTGACCTGGGACATATGTTTTAGCTTTTTAACATTTTTTGGGGTATCTGGGATTGAATTTAGGGACCTGGACCATTGAATCACATCCTGGGCCCTATTTTGCATTTTATTTAGAGATGGGGTCTAAATAAAGACTGCCTCCCTAAGGCTGAGGCTGGCTTTGAACTTGCAATCGGCCGGCCTTAGCTTGGAGCCCTTGGGATTACAGGTGCGCACCACTGAACAGAGCTTCAGCATTCTTATTTACAAAAGAACCAGATTTGATTGGAATCTCACTCAGTGATTCCATGTTTCTCTTTGGGAAAAAAACAAACAGACAAAACCCTGTGTGATTCAGTACATTTCTGCTGAATTTCATGCCCCTGTGATACTTCTTCGGGACTCATGTCCCCAGAGTATAGTGAAAATACGACTGGCCATAGGTGACAGTTGGGTGACATGATGCTTGTGAAAGCAACTGGTGAAGTTCACTGCAGAAGGAAAGTGCTGTTATTATTAAGTCCTGGAAGCTCCACACAAGGCCACGTTTTCCTTTGTATTGTGGAAAAGGTGGGCTGGAAAGAAAATTGAGGCCTGTGCATGTGTAGTTTCACACCTGACTGGTGGCCACGTGGCCTAGGCTGAGTTAAACTGGTGTCTCTTTGAATGCAAGCCATGAAAAAATATCTCACTGGATTACTCTTAATCCCTAGGTCTAGAAGGGCCCATTCCAAATAACACTCTGCGCCCACCATCCCAGACAGGAAGGTGTTTAGACTTCATTGGTTAGTTATAGTGTAGGTGGGTGACTGTAGCCTATTGGTAACTGTGGAGAGAAAGAGGCCTCTGGGAAGTTCAAGGTTTTCCATTCCATGTCTTTGAGTTTGGCTACTGGGCAGCACTTCCTCTCTTTGTAAGAGTAATAATTTCCTGGGACACTTCTTAAGGAATATGAGCTTTTTGGCTAAAATATGTGTTGATTGTGTTAAGTTAGTGTAAACAAGAATGTTTAATAGGCAGTACTGTATGCTGTTAATAAGGAAAGATGCTCTGGTTAGAACTTACATATTAATGAGGAATGTTAAATAATTCATCTAAGGTTTCCAAATAAATTTCTTGGGATTTGGTTTTGTACTATCAGTTCATCCGTGTTCAAAGAAAAGACACCACCATACGCTACCCATCTGTGGTGAATTCGAGTGCTAATGCTTCACTATATACCGCTAGTTAGGGTCCCTTGTGTTATCCATGAGACCACACTGATAGGCTTCCCCGGTGTGTGATGAGATAGATGTTTTGGACACTGATTAAAGAAAGGATCCATTGTGCTTTTTTGTTTCTTCTTCTTCTTCTTCTTTTTTTTTTCCCTCCCTGAAAAAACAGAAAGGACACATTTTGGTAGATACAGCCACTTGTTGTTAAAGCCTTTGGTGAATTGTGCAAAGTAGGGCAGATAATGTTGGCAGCTGTGATTAGACAAGAGCCGTGTGGGGCTTGTGTGATGAGGGGAGGGGGCAGTTTTTATCCAGTGAATTTTTTTCCTGCATTTTAGTGGCTGAGAAAAATATACAAAAGATATTAAAGTGTACCCTCTCTACTTCCTGTTGAATTTAGCAACTTTTCTTCTTTTTTTTCCTCCACTTCAATCAAAACTTACATATGCACTGAACCACTTTATAAGAGTATGAAATACAAGGGGCAGGTTCCTACAAAGTCTCCTTTACCAGTAAGCTACCTCCCTAGCCCTTTTCAATTTTTTTTTTTTTTTTTTTTTTAAATTTTGAGATGGAGTCTCACTAAGCTGCCCTTGTGACCCTCATGCCTTAGACGCCCAAGTTGCTGGGATGGTAGGCGTGGGCCAGTGTACCCAGCTTCTTCAAACACTTTTTTTTTAAATATTTTTAGTTGTAGATGGACACAATACCTTTATTTTATTTATTTATTTTCATGTGGTGCTGAGGATCAAACCCAGTGCCTCATACATGCTTAGGCAAGCTCTCTATCACTGAGCCACAACCCCAGTCCTTCTTCAAATATGTTCAGAAATAAAAATAACAGCTGCTTATTTAAATACCTTCTTTTTGCCAGCCACTCTTCTTATTGCTTTATATTTGTATTTCATCTTTCTAATGAGAATTTTATTACCCCCATTTTATAGAGGAGGCTGAGGCTTCAGAGAGCTGGAGGAACCTGCCCAGGAGGATGAATCCAGTAAGAGAGAGCTGGGATCTCAGTCCTGGTGTATTTCATTGTCTTGAGAGGGTGACTGGCATCTTTGATTGATGTGTGAGACACTGTGCCTAGAACATGAATGGCATTCAATCCTTTAATCTTTATAGGTGGTTGCTGTGATTTTTGTTTTATTGATAAGGAAATTGAGTCTTTGGATAGGTTACGTAGGGCCATACAAACATAGTTTGTCATTAGTGTTTAATTTTGAAATGGAGTATGATTAGAGCATTTTCTTTTTGTGTTAAATTTAAATGATCCTGGTAGAGTGGAGCTCTTAAATAAATGAAGCTTAAATCACTGTTTTTAAAGGAACTGAAAATTATCTGTGCCCCTGGGTGAGGATAGAGGCCATTTATTGCCAGAAGGATCGACCATTAAAGATTTGAAATGTGTTGAATTTTTGAAATTGCATCTTGATTATAAAATAAGTGGCATTAATATAAATCAATTTCTTTCTCCTCTAATGTGGGCAAGAATAAGTTTTAGAAGTCTGCAAGTCTGGGGGAGGTGGAGAAATTGCAAGCAGGCTGAGGAGGAGAGCTGGGGTTTTCCCCATAAGTAGTGTCGCCACCGACAGGGACCATCTTTTAGATCAGTGGCAGTTTTTGGCCTTTTATTGGATTATTTCTCATGTAGAAGACTGAAAACAAAAACCACCCTCTGTCCTTTTTGGGAGCCCCGTATAAACACAGTCCTGTGCCTGCCCTGTGGTCTCCTGGGTGAGTTGTAAACCCCTTTCCTGGCCTGATTGTCCTGAGGCTATAAGGCTGGAGAATAGAAGGGCCTTTATTCTATGTGAATGGAAATTAATTTCACTTCTTTTAAACTGGAGGAAAAGTTCAATGTTGCCAAATCAAGTGGCTGAATTTTTGTTGAAGTCACCTTTTGACCTTATTTTAGGAAGTATGCTAAATCACTAATCACTAACTCATCACTAAACTGTCGCCTGATGGTTAGAATGAACCACATCCTGAAAGCCCAAGAGTTCAGAGTGTTTTGGTGTGGCCCTGGCTAAGTCACTTTAATTTTAAACTTCCCCTAATTTTTATTTTCCTTGTGATTATTGGCCTAATACAATTCTTGGTTGGTGCATATATATCTTAAAAACTTGCTTTAAAAAGTAAAAGTCATGTTTACTCTTACAGCTTTGTGACAAATACACTTTTTATTAAAGAAAAATCTCTAACGGTACACACTTAATGATTGCAGAAGCCACATTTGAGTCTGCATTTTTCTTTTTCTTCATCTCCAGATTGGAAAGGACGTTTCCCTCTGAGTGGAGATATATGTGGGTATAT